GACAGGGTTTCTCTGTGTAGCCCTGGCTGTCCTGGATCTCACTCTGTAGCCCAGGCTGGCCTCGAACTCACAGAGATCCGCCTGCCTCTGCCTCCCGAGTGCTGGGATCAAAGGCGTGCGCCGCCACTGAAGTGTTGTGTTGATTTCTTTTTGAGACAGGGCTTCTCTAAGTAGCCCAGATAAGCTTTGAAGTCGGTCCTCCTGCCTCCGCCTCTGAGTGCTGGAACCACAGACGCGGCCCCCGGTGCTGGTTTATGAATGACCCTGAGGTGTCCGGCGGGGCACAGGCCACATGTGGGGATCCTTCCCTTCCCAAACATTCCCCCGTCTGTTGCAGGTGTGGAAAGGGACTCGTGACGATATTTCAATTTATTGTACAAGGCCATTGCATCTAAGAGTTAGTGTGTGTTTGTGAGTGTGTGTGCATGTTTGTGAGTGTGTGTGTGATTATGTATGTGTGTGTGTGAGTGTGTGTGTGTGTGATTATGTATGTGTGGTGTGTGTGTGAGTGTGCATGAGGTGTGTGTTTTGTGTGGAGGTCGGTGGCTACACATGTGGAGGTCAGAAGACAATCTGTGTGGGAGGCAGATCTGACTACTGTGTGGGTTCAGGGGTCAAGCTCAGGGGACAGGCGTGGCCGCAAGCCCCTTGACCCACTGAACCCATTCGCCAGCACAAGAGAGAACACGTTATTCTGTGTCAGGATGGCCGGCCTGACCGTCAGCCCATGACGCTGAGCAGGAGCGACCCGGCCAGGAAAACGCAGCCGGGTACAGAACCCCACAATGGCTGGCATTGGGGAGCAAGGGCAGCTTGGATTGAGTTCAAGTCTCCCAACTGACTGTCCACCTGGGCCGAGTGTCCCCAGCACGACCCTCCCCCAGGCTTCTCAGTCCTGCTGTGGGAAGTCCCGGTTCTCTCCCCATCCCGGGACCCCTCCTGGGCCATGTACACGTGAGCGATGGTCACCGGGCGCTGGGAGTCCTCTCCGTGTTTAGAAAAGATCATGAAGGGGGACGGGGGGCACCCCAGAGGCCACGCGAGGCTGTGACCCCCGAGGACTGACGTGTTTGGCTTTGGATGTGAGGACACACACAGCTCAGGGTCAGAGGCAGAGAGTGGCAGGGCAGACACTGTGGGATGGAGACACCGCCCTAAGCCTTCTGTGTGCATGCTTGCCTGTGTGTGTGTGTGTGTGTGTATGTGTGTGGTGGGTAGGTGCATGCCTCTGTGTGTGTGTGTGCATGCCTGTGCATACGTGTGTATGTTTGTGTGCATGGTGTGTGTGTATGGTGGGTGTGTGCATGCACATATGTGTGTGCGTGGTGTGTGTGTGCATGGTGTGTGTATGGTAGTTGTGTGCATGCCTGTGCATACGTGTGTGTGCATACGTGTGTGTGTGTGTGTGTGTGTGTGTGTGCGCGCGCGCGCGCGCGCGCCTGCACCTATTGGTGCTAGCATGTGCATTCTCCCATCTGCTACCGCCAGTCAGTGCTGTTCCGGGTCCAGCCTGAGGACCAGGGTGAGGGTCCCTGGTTAATGCACGCGGTGGCCTCGGGGGACGGGACCCAGGGGGCGGTGACCTCAAACCAGCCACAGGGACTCTGCTTGACCCCTGGGCCCGCGGGCCTGAGTGTGGATCCTGCAGGGCCCTGGCTGCACCTGAGTGTGGATCCTGCAGGGCCCTGGCTGCAGCCGGGAGGCGGAGCGCCTGGAGCCCTCGCGGGCGGCGCAGAGATTCGCATTCCTGGGATGTTTTTCCTTAACCGTCGCTGCCGCTCACAGCCGTTTCCTGACTTCCGGCAGACAGGCCTCAGCCGGAAGGGGACGCTGGCTCCGTGCCAGCCGGGAGCCTTTCCACGGGAGTCGGTCCAGGGTGCGAATCCTCCCAGCCGCGGCCCAGACAGAAGCTGGAGACTCAGCCCGCACCGCCCGGCTGTGTGACCCCAACCCTTTCACGCGGGGTCCCCCACCCCTGCATTTCAGGGTGGTGGAGCTCATGGTGGGTGGAGGCTGCTCGGTGCTCTGCAGGCCCCGGACACCCCACAGAGAAGGACCCGGACTGATGTCCCCGGGCGCCACGGGCCTGGGGCAGGAACCGGGCATGCGCGCTGGAGAGGGTCTGTGTGGCTCTGTTGACATTCGGCTGCGGCGGGCGTCCTGTGTCCCCGATTCACCCAGACTGCGGGTCCCCTCAGTGCACATCTGTCACCCCGCATTTTGGAGGAAGAGGTAGAAGGACAGCAAGTTCAAGACAGCCCGGGCACCTTAGTGAGTCCCTGTTTCAAAATAAAAGCTAAAGAGTACTGGGAACTTATATAGTGGCTCCCACCTTTAATCCCAGCGCTGGGGAGGCAGAGGCAGGAGGATCTTTGTGAGTTCGAGGCCAGCCTGGGCTACAGAGCGAGATCCAGGAAAGGCGCAAAACTGCACAGAGAAACCCTGTCTCGAAAAAAAAAAAACAAAAAAAAGAAAGAAAGAAACAGCCAGAGCGACATAATGAAACTTTCAAAAAGTGGATGGCTGGGGGCGTGGTCAGGTGGAGCCCCGCCTAGAATCCCCCAGGGAGGGGCTGGGGGCGTGGTCAGGTGGAGCCCCGCCTAGAATCCCCCAGGGAGGGGCTGGGGGCGTGGTCAGGGTGGAGCCCCGCCTAGAATCTCCAGTGAGGGGCTGGGGGCGTGGTCAGGGTGGAGCCCCGCCCAGAATCCCCAGTGAGGGGCTGGGGGCGTGGTCGGGGTAGATTTTGTTGGCAAGCTCTGGTTAGTAACGACGTCCCTGGTTAGTAACGACGTCCCTGGTTAGTAACGACGTCCCTGCTGTCCCGTCCTGAGGCTGCACACCTGTGGGGAGACCCAGGGCTTTCAGGATTTTTGGCTCTCAGGGCCCTGCTGACCTTGCCCGTGTGTGAATTTTCCACGCCGTGCCGTCGGGTGGGGACAGCGGCTGCCCTGGGGCTTTGAGTGCGGCCCTGTCCTCCCTGGACTCGGTCACAGGTCCCGGTCAGGCGGCCTGGCTGACTCTGTCGCTGGCGAGGAGGCCCCGCCGCACGTCACCGGAGCCTGTGGCCGGGAATCTGTCCGGCGGTCCCTCCGCCCTCGGCAGCAGGAGCATGCACGCGTGACACACAGACACGGCGGCTGCGCATGACACACAGACACGGAGCAGGAGCATGCACGGGTGACACACAGACACGGAGCAGGAGCATGCACGCGTGACACACAGACATGGAGCAGGAGCATGCACGCGTGACACACAGACACGGCAGCCGCATGTGACACACAGACAGGGCAGCAGGAGCATGCATGCGTGACACACAGACACGGCAGC